GGCAGCAGCGGGGCTGCAGCGGCAAGAGAAGCGCAGGTAATCTTCTTACCGGGGTGAGGAGGTATGCAGGAGGGCTGGTGCAGGGCTGAAGCGGGCAGCAGCACTTGCTGCTGCTGCTGCTGCTGCTGCTGCGGCTGCCACTGCTGCTGCTGCTGCGGGGAGAAGGGCCCCACAGGCTCGCCTTGAGGGTACGGCAGCCCCTGTGGCTGCGCTGAAGGAGTGGCAGAAGAAAATGCAGGTGCAGCAGGAGTTGGGAATGCTGCTGCTGCTGCAGCCGCCGCTGCTGCTTGCTGCTGCTGCTGCTGCACTTCGTACTGGTGGCTTGCTGCTGCTGCAGCAACCTCCTTCCGCAGCAGCAGGTCCACAGCCTTCTCCCTGTCCCCCTTGCAGTGACGCAGCGCCCTGCATCAACAGCAGCAGCGTGAGCAGCAGCGACAGCAGCTGCATGAGACACAGCAGCAGCAGCAGCAGCAGCAGCAGCAGCAGCAGCAGCAGCAGCAGCAGCAAAGGGCGGGTACTCTGTAGTTTACTTTTTGATCTGCTTCCTCGTTACCCGCGGCACGATGGACTGTATGTACGCTATGTCGGCGTCTTCATTCTTGCTGCTCTTGCTGCTGTTACTGCTGCTCCTGCTGCTGCTGCTACTGCTGCTGCTGCTGCTGCTGCTGCGCTTGTGGGCTCCGGCGCCATACGCGTAATGCTGCTGCTGCTGCTGCTGCTGCTGCTGCTGCGTGTTGCCATTAGCCTGGTCTTGTACATAAACGTGTTCATGCAGCAGCAGCTGCGGCGCTGGCTGCCCTGGGGTGACTATGTTTGCTGCTGTCTCCCTCCCCTGCTGCTGCGGCTGCTGCTGCTGCTGCTGCTGCGCGTAGGGAGGCTGCTGCTGCTGTGCGTAGTAGGGTTGCTGCTGCGGCATGTAGTAAGGCTGCTGCTGCTGCATATAGTACTGCTGTTGCTGCATTTGCTGCGGCGCATAATAGGGATACTGGTGCTGCTGCTGCTGGTAGTAGCCTTGCTGCTGCTGCTGCTGCAGCTGCATCTGCTGCTGCATCTGCTGCGCCAGAAAGGCATCTACGCCGTCATGGTGGTGCATGTCTTGCAGCGCCAGCTGCTGCTCGTGTCTCTGCTGCTGCTGTCGCTGCCAGTCGATGTGCTGCTGCTGCTGCAGCTGCTGCTGCAGCTGCTGCCGGTGTGCTGCTGCATCAAACCGCCGCAGCTGCAGCATCAGCAGCAGCCCCGCCCCAGGCCCCAGGGAAGTCAGCGGAGCGAAGACTGATTGAGGTGTCTGTACAGAAAATAGCAGCAGCAGCAGCAGCAGCAGCAGCAGCAGCAGCAGCAGCAGCAGCAGCAGCAGCATTCTTATTTTCCATACTTTGTACATTTACGCAAATACACTTCGCTGATCCGAACAAACAAAAATGACATGGACTTATTTAATCATTGCTGCTATAGGCATCTTTGCTGATAGCAGCAGCAGCTGCTGCAGCTGCTGCTGCTGCTGCTGCTGCTGCTGCTGCTGCTGACGCACAGGCTCCTCTGCTGCAGGCAGCTGCACCCTGGTTTCGCCAATTTCCTTTTTCTTCAGAAGGGAATGCTTCCAAACCCGCAGCAGCAAAGTGGAGCCGTCGATGGCCTTGTCGTAGGGCAGCAGGAACTCAGCCTGCTGCTGCTGCTGCTGCTGCTGCTGCTGCTGCTGCTGCTGCCGCTGAACGGGCTGCAGCAGCGGGCTCTTTTGCTTCTCGCCCCGCCAGAGAAACTTCACGTACACTTGCTGAGCTGTAGAGACACCGCAGACGCCCATTATCTGCAGCCGCAGCCGCAGGTGACCCTCCATTGTGCAAACCCTAAACCCTAAACCCTAAACCCTAAACCCTAAACCCTCGGGCCACCCGCTGGCTGTGGCCTGATAAGGCACTTCAGGAAATGAGGCTGTTGCTGCAGCTGAGGTGTACATACAGCTGCGCCCACGGAGTCCCGCTAGAGGTTGACCAGCGGGCCTGCCGCTGCTGCTGCTGCTGCTGCTGCTGCTGCTATGCTGCTGCTGCTGCTGCTGCAGAGCACGCACGGAAATAAAAGAAGTGAGTTGGAGGCAACGCGAGGACTAAAATTAAGGCTCATAAGTTAAAAGTGAAACAAACGCGGAATCTGGTGTGCGGCTGCTGCAGCAGTCCTTCTGCTGCTGCTGCTGCTGCTTTGCTGCATGTTCTTCTTTTTGCTGTTTTGTTAGTCAAGAGCAGCAAACGCAGAGTTGCTGCATTCAGGTGTACGTACACCTCAACGAAATTAAGCTACTAGGCCCCCCAAAGTCATCTTGGGCCTTCCCCTGGCGCTGCCGTTCCAGCGGTCCGCCGCTGCTGCTGCTGCTGCAGCAGCAGCAGCTGCTGCTGCTGCTGCTGCTGCTGCATGCAGTGGCCTCAGCCCCGAGTGCTCTAGAGAGCATGTTTAACATGAAGTTGGTCAAATAAAACAATTAAAATTCGAAAGTTGTTTATCTTTTTGG